CCCACTGCAGCTCCCATGTGATACAGACTCACACTCAAGTATCCACAGGCAGCAGGACTGTCCCCATCTTTCTGTTTCCTGGAGTGCTCCCTTAGGCACCTGTCACACAGTATCCCCTGAACAAGGACTGCATCACTGACCATTCTCCTCCCTTCAGGTGTTGCCTCGAAACAGCTGCAGGCTCTTGGGAAATCCTTGCTGCCTCTGGTGCGGAGAGATGTGCTCATTCACAGCACCTCAGGCTTTCCCATAACAGAGCATTTGTGTGGTGTTGTCACCACTGAAAAGCTTGTCCTTGCCAGCTGCCCTCTCCCTGAGGACAATGACATGGTTATTCTTGGTTGCATTCCAAGCCAGTGAGTAATGGAGAGGGCCAGGATACAGCAGGTGCCTCATGAGTGTCCCCTGGATGGATGGATGAAGGAATGAGTGATAAAGAAATGACTGAGTGGCAGAATGAATGAATCTCATTGTAATCCAGTCCTATACCCCCTGAACCAAGCAGAGTCCTCCAGAGTCCAGAGCGGCTCTGTGGGGAAGGCGATACGTGTGGTCACAGGTTTGAGAGTTACATCACCCTGGAACTGAAACTTCCACTGCCATCAAGGTGAATGAGATACGCTCAATACTCAAAATTACACAGGGGTGTGATGAGCACATTTGTGAGCCTGGAGGCTGAGGTCCCTGGCTGCCTCGAAAGACCAGGGAGCAGGTTTACAGCTGCTCCTGGAATGCAGGAGTTCCCCACTGCTGCTGCAGATCTCCTCAGCACTGCTTACTACCTGCTGAGATAGCCTGGGAAAATATCTTCCATCGTCTATCTCAGCTTCCTGACTGTAAAATGGAACCAGCTGTCTTTGCATGTGAGCTGGGAGGAGAAAAGGCGTTCTGTGAGCAGGTATTTCTGTTTGTGTCACTCAGGAGAGTCAGGTGTACTGGAAAAGGTGGCATTTCAGAGGTGCTGGGTCCCCCTGCCACTTGCCGTTGCTCCCTCCACCCCCGTGGGCCTGCTTGGCCAGAGCCAGATCCTGCCTGAAGATGGAGACCCCCAGGCCTGAGCTCCCGATGCTGCTGGCTCTTGTGTAGTCCAGGGTGTTGGACCTGAGCACAACCTGGAGGGAAGGGCTGCCCAGGAGTGCCACCTGTGCCCCCATTCAGGGTCCTGCTTCCATCTGCGTGGATATGCATGGAGTGAGAACAGTGCTTTACCATGTTCTTCCTCTATGATAGGCAGCACAGGGCTGTGCCTTAGTGTCTTCTGAGTTTCAGGAACTCTGGGCTGAGTACCTGTGTTCTGGCTCACAGTCCCACCCCCCGTCCCCTAGCAAGGTCAGCCATGGCTATGATAACAAAGAGAGCAGAGTCACGTGTTTTGGCTTGCCCCAGCCATGGGCTTAAACCTGCAAGGAAAGGTCTCCATGCCTCCTGATCATCTGCCTTTTCATGCATCCCGAGAGCTCCCTTTGCAGCTCCTTAGTTCCCTGCTCATTCCCCACAGGTTGCCCACAAGGCTGTGGCTTCCCCTGAGCATGTGGGCCCAGCCTCACTGAGTCCTCATCGGGAAATGGGGACAGGCATGCAGTTAGAAGTCCTCCCAGGGCACAGCCAGAGCCCAGGAAGACGATGTGGACCATTTACATTAACAGGAGTGCCAAGTGACAGGAAGGTGGCAGTACAGGAAGTGGCCAGCTCCAGACATTCACTCCAACCAAGTGACGGAACAGTCCACAGCCTCAGCTCTGTGGCCTTGGCATTGAATCACTGACTTTACCCATGGGTTCCAGTGGTAGTTTCCAACTGGCTATCTGTGAGCTGTCAGATGATGACATTGGTTATAGGATACTCAGCTTGGTGTCAATCAATATCACATAAATACCTGGGTTATGAAGTGTCTCAACTTAACACAGCAGGAAATCTGCTCCTGCCGAGCTGCTGCGCAGCACTCTCGGTCACTGGAGCTGAGTTGCTTTCCACAGTGGCAGGTTGAGAGATCTTAATAAGTGTGGGAGCGTCACACAGCTAAACCATGCCGTGTGCAGGGTCCCTCACTCAGGCCTTTCTGATGTGAGGCACTGCTATTGTGAGCAGAACCCACTCCCAAGTTACTACCTGAGCTGACTGTATGCAGCAGGAAGCCCCAGGTCAGGAATGCCCTGCTCACCATTCCCTGGGGCTACCACTCTTGCCACACGGTAACTTCAGTGCCCTGGTGGCAACAGTGCAGACCAAGAAGGCCTCACACCCTCCATCATCCACTCAGAGAGCATTGAGAGCAGCAGGTGGGAAAGGGTCAGACCACGGATGCTGAGAGTCCCAGGGCTCATGCTGGGATCCCTCTGTCAGTTCTGGAAATGTGGCAGCGCCAGCTCCTCCCAGTGCCAACCTATCCTCTGTCAAATGGGAAGGATGTCACAGACGTGTGAGCTACAGGAGCCATGATAATCATGAGGGGCATCCTGTGGGTGGAGAGGACCTATGTGTGACAGATAATGGCTGCCATGTTGTATTTCCTGCACCACATGGAGGGTTTGTGCAGGGCTGAGCTGTGCCCCCTGCCAGGCTGCCTGTGAAGGGGGAAGGGTTTGCAGGAAGGGCATCCTGTGAATCTTGCCACCAAGTCACCCACCCTCCTTCCTCTGCACCTGGATGGCCCTGAGAGGCGTGTCTGGGAACAAGGTGATCTCTCACGCACAGGTATGTGAAGTGTCAACGCCTCGAGGGCCTGGGCTCCTGTACAAATAGTGGACCCTGCCTTGCACTGCCACCGAGGCAGCTGTGAACCTGCAGCCCACGCTGTCAGTTGGGATCGTGCTGGACCTGGAGACTCAGAGCCCGGTAAGAGCCTCCTTCTCTGTTATCAGCGCCTCCCTTCCTGCTCTCCATTCTCCATGCTCCAGGGTCCTGGGCTCTGACCCATGTGTGCACAGCAGGAGGCTGTGGGACATGTCTGGGACCCCAGCTGGCATCCTGTCCCAGCCTCATGGTCCTGGCTCTCTCTCAAGTGCTGCCTTGTCTTCCTTGGTCACTGGGTTGACCCAACTCTCTTCAGTATTTCATTAGGATCATCTCTTGGCCTGTCTCCTTCTCAAACAAATTTGTTGCTTCTTCAACCCTGCATGGGTCTTACTTGTCTTGTGTTTTGTCTATTTTCTGAAGGGCTGAAAAGATTCAGAGTAACGTGGTCAGCAAGGGGAGGCAGAGAGGAACAGAGCTGGAGACTGGCTGCCTGGAGGCCCTGGTCTGTCCACTGTGGGATCGGGAGCCAATCCCTACTTGGCTGGCCCTGCCTGGTGAGGCCTTTCCTTGGGATGGTTCATACATGAACAGGGCTGGCAGGGTGTGTGAATCTCAAGGTGAGATGGAAATGCTGGACAGTGCTCATCACTTAGCAGGTGTTACATGCAGACACTCTCTTTTTCTTCCCCGAATGGTCTGACTGTTCACTTGAGACTTGGTGCCTCTCAGTGTGTCATGAAAAGGATTGGGCCCACAGTGCTGCAACCGGGCCGTCCCTGCGGTCACGGAGTCTGAGCAGGAGATGGTGTTTACAGAGTGTCAGAAAGCAGTAGGTTCTTGTGCAGAATACTGTCTCATTTCTTTGCATGTCAGCTGGCTGAATTTTTAGAGAAGGAGTAGCTGTGTGGGTCAGGGAGACTCTGGGCCATTGGTGCTGTTAAGCATTTAAGTCACAGGACCAGCCTTGAGAGTTGTCCTAGGTCTTAAATGGTTTATTGTTATTTCCAAAGATAATGGAGAGGGAAATGGCATCTGTTAACGCTGTCAGTGTGGCATTGAAACCTTGCCTCAGTGGTTTCGAGTAATGGTGTATCAGGTAAAGCCACCACATGCAGAGTCAACAATAGTTCTGGGCACGGGTTCATGTGATTCTGCTTACTCCTGGCACAAGTGCTTGCTAATGGCCTGCAGAGAACCGCGGTAGAGGGCCGCGTGGGGCTTGAGACCCTGGACCACGTGAAAAGCCAGGAAGCAGAGCTGGGCTCTGGCTTTCAGACGCCACACGTCATGGTTGTGGCCATCTGGGAGAGGCCAATTTCTCTCTGTCGCTGTTTCTAATCGCCATCTATGTAAGTCAGAATTTCCAAACGTAGATAAGTCTTTATTTAAAAAAAGAAGAGGAAGAAATAAACTCATTATTAATGTTCAGAATACAGGGGCATCATAAAAATCAGACAAGTTCTGATCTTCAGCTTGGAAGGGAGATGCTCGCAGAAACTCGCCCCTCTCTTCCCCTTGCCTTTCTCAGCGGCGGCAGAGCAGCTCACAGCCTCCCACCTTCTGAAGCATTGACTTCCTCCTAGATATTTGATTCACCCTTGTGGACCAGGACTCCACAATGCGTTTCAATAACATGTTCCGGACACACTCACGGCTCCTGCTCCTTTCCAAACTGATTGTACTCTCGGTGCATAAAATGTTCGTGTAAAACTGATCATGTGACAGTGGCGGAGATTGGTCATTCATTCACCCACACACTGAAGTCCCAGGTGAAAGAACCAAGGTCCTGAGAGGAGCGTGAATTTTGCATGGTGGTCCTGAGCACAGGGACGAGACTAAGCCCCTGGTCAGTGCTATTTACATTCCCCAGAGTGGCTTGTAAGTTGTTAAAGACCTTGAGTTGCCTCCTTCACCTCAAGGTATTGAACACCTAGCTTAATGCATGGCTGGAAGTAGGTTCTTGTAAGAGCTTCTTGCCGAGCATTGCTGAAGGATGAAGTGTGTGAGAAAGGCAGGTGTGCATGACGCATGAGAGGACAAGGAACTGAGAGTAGAGAGGGAAGTGACGAGCAGACACCCTGTACCGTCCAGTGTTGATCAGGTGCAAGAGCGAACAGTCAGGCTGCTGGTCCTGCGTCCAGGGGCCAGAGGAAGCTCAGTCACCTCCTATACCAAGCAGGCATGTATCAGAGGAGGGGGGGGCCAGCCTGTAGCTCTGCACCACTCACTCTGCCTTTTGTCCAGCAGGTGGCGCCAGCAGAACCATGAAGACGCACAGCCTCACGCTGCTCTCTGTCCTCCTCCTGGCAGCTCAGGCGCTCCCCACGGAGCCCCAACAGGAAGCAGAGTTTGAGTACTTGCAGCCAAGTGGGGATGGATGGGTTACTCTAGGAAAGCCCGTGATGGTGGCCACAATCCCCACAACCAACGTCATCGTCACCGGCCATTTCAACAGAGATCAAGCCAAATGTAATGTGACGGTGACGTCTCAGGAGAAAGGTGTCCTTCTGCAGGTCGATTGTGTTCGATTCAGCCATGAGTTCTCCTGTGTCTTTGGCGGCGATCCCACTGCATGCCTACGCTGTGTGAAGAACGACAAGGTGTACTGGAGACAAATCGGCTGGCGCTTGCGTCATCTGGAGCACATCTGTGAGGACTCCCGGGCCATCCTGGACACCAGGGTGTGTAGTGCCAAGTACCCAGAATCCAACCTCAAGCTGCTGAGCTCCACTCTGGCCAGGAAACTTCCCCCTCTGAAATGAACTTTCTCTGACCAAAGTTGTGGGTCAAGGTGAAGCAACTGTCATAGGCAGAGATGTTCAAGTTCCAACATCACACGTTCCCCACAAGAAAATCACCGATGCATTCACGGCTACAGAGACCACTCCCAGCAGCAGAGCAAGACTGAAACCTTCATGCCGGCCCTGCAGGCCCAGCGGACCACACCAAACACGGTTGTTTCCTGAGTTTCATCTGCAGCGTGTCCCTCTGCCCTGACTTCCCTGTGTGGGAGAAGTGCTTATGCAGTTGGGGCCTTCGGTCCCTGTGCAGGAGGAGTCTCCCCTGGTTCTGCCAGGCAGGATGTCTAGCCTGGCAGAGTGCAGTGCTCCATGGGACAGAGTCCGGGTTCTGCAGGGCTGGTGTTCACGTCCTCAGGCGCTGCGAGCCCAGGAGCCAGGCAGCCTCTGCCAATCACGCCTGAGGACGTGAACACCAGCCCTGCAGAACCCGGACTCTGTCCCATGGAGCACTGTGTGTGAACTGAAGGGGTCGAGTGGTGATATAGTGAGAGTCACCTCCTGCTGAGTAAACCACCATAATAAAGCTCCTGTGTTGTTTCCAAATATACTCAACCGTGTTGGTAAATCGGTGTCACGTCACACATGACCTCGTGAATCAGTCCCCTACACCCCTGGGTGGGATGATTCCTGCTTCGTACCTGTCCCAAGTCACCCCCGGTCACGGCCTGTTCTCCCATCCCTGACTTCCTGGAGTTGAGCGTTCGACTGTGGTGTCTGATTCTTACCAGTGTGGTAATTAGGGTCTCCTTTTCCAGTCGGAATCCTTGGCCATTGTGTGATTTTGTCATTGGCATGGACTCACAGCTGTCAGAGGGAGGTAGGAGCCGGCCAGGAGTTTTGGCAGCCAAGGCCACAGCCTTGACAAATCCCCTGTCCTCACTACAGTCAGAACTGCTGTCCCGCTGCCTTTGCGGGACCCTGTCTTTGGTGGGTCATTTCCAGGATGGGGGTGAGAAGGGGGGCGGGTGGGAGTGGGAAGAGTCCCAGTTACTCACAGTGCCCCGTGAAGGCACAGTCAACTGCAGGCACGAGGCAGGCGTTCGTCCTGGTAAGAGGCCCATGTCTGACATCACGGGGCCTGGGTTCAGTACCAGGCTGAGCTCGTCACTCAGCCTCCTGCTAGCACGGGCGGTTTCAGGGAACGGCGGTGACTCCTGTAACTAGGCTCAGGCAACCAATACGGGAGAGGTGGATGGAGCTTCCAGCCCCCAGTTCAGCCCAACCAGAAAACGTTCTGTGTGTGAGGAGGGAACCAGCAGGTGGACAGTCCTTTCTCACTCTTTAACACATAAACAAATTAAAAAAAAAAAAAAAAAAAGGAACCTGTAACCTGGGAGAGGAGTCAGAAATTGCTGGAAGATCTAGGTTTAGCATCCCAGAGACAGTGGAACTGGAGCAGACTTCAGATAGAGCAGCTTCAGGAATGAAATAAGGCCAGGGGAAGACAGGATTGCATATGAGACCAAATATGATGGCAAAGGGATGTGAAAGTGGTCCAAGCCGCGGGGTTGGAGGGAAGGAATGCAGCACTCTGCTGGCATCAAATCTGTAAGTTTCTGTTAGTATTAGTTGGAGGGAAGTTAGTATCAAAGATCTGAAAATGTCTTCACTCAAGAGCTAGGGAGAGATGAACTTTCTCTGGGAACGAACCATACTTCTACCGATGGAGAGCTAGTGACCGGTGTGGTAACTGTCCTTTCCTTACTGCCTCTGATGTTGGCAGGCAGCAGGTGCGGGCCTGTGGCAGGACAGGCAGCAGGGCAGGCTGGTGGCAGGACAGGCAGCAGGGGCAGGCTGGAGGCAGGACAGGTTTTTTATTCATCTCCCCAACAAGACTCACAATGAGGAGTCTTAACTATTGCACATCATGCCTGCACTAGAGTTACAGGTGGACATCACAGCAATATCACAGAAACTAGCCTCTGTCTCATGGCTATCTGCTTTGTCTGTGTTAAGCTCCTCCCAGGAACGATGCATTCACTCACTCACAATTTACGAGTGAGCATGGGCGCCCTCTAGTGCTGGGATTGCAGCAGTGCTCAGAAGGTGAACCAGTGGGAACAGCAGGATCACCTCCCAACACACGGGAGTAGGAGGGGAAAGTGAAGCCAGGAAGGGGGATACAAGCGAGGAATGGAGTGCATTAAGGTTGGAGGTCTTTCTTTTCCATTTAAAAAACATTTATTTTTAATTTGCTTATATTGGAAAGGCAGAATTAGAAGGAGGGTAGAGAGAAAGATCTTCCACTCCTTGGTTCACTCCCCTAATGGGCACAGTAGCTAGAGCTGAGTCAACGCACATCTAGCAGGCAGGAGTTTCGTCCAGGTCTCCCGCATGGGTGTGAGTCCCAAGGCTTTGATCTCTACTGCATTTGCAGGCCATAAGCAGGGAGCTGGATGGAAAGTGGGGAAGCCGGGGCAGGAAGCATGCCCATAAGGAATCCTGGTGCTTGCAAGTGGAGAATTGAGCTAGTTAAACTATTGTGCCAGGCTCAAGGGAAGCCTTCTATGGACGTGACTTACAGCCCAGCCACAAGTGTGGGAACTGAGGCAGGTAATTTCAGAGAAGGATGAGGGAAGAGTCAGAACAGGTGCCTGAAAGTAAAATTAAGTTAATCCACCCTGGTCTCAGTTCCTATCACATCCTTGATATTATTTCAAAGTCAAGAAAACTGGTCAGAAAATAGAAAAATCCTCCCTGTCTTCATGAGCGTTACATGACGGGGCCTGGGATCATGCTGAACCAGCTGCACCTTGTCAAACACTCGGGGCATTGGAGGATGGAGCTCAGAGCCTGAGCAGGGAGCCTCACCCCAACTCCACAGGAACAGAGCTGACAGCCCGACATGCTGCGAGTCCCTGTCAGGGGGGAGAGGGACATTTTCTCATTTCCTGTACAAAGTTTGTCCTCCCTGTGTCTCCATACCTGACTTGTAGCACTCACATCGTTACAGACCTGCCAGAGCAGCTTGCAGGGGACGCATCCAGGGTCGTGATGTGTTTGAAGCCCAGGCATATTGTTCTAGAAGCTCTCCTCCAGCAACCTCCTCAGAGCCCACCATCTTCACAGCATGTCATGTGCCATCCTAAGATCCTCTTGCTGTCCACCTTCATTCCTCCCCATCCGGCTCGTGCAAAGGGCACTTAGACATGGCAATGAAACACACACGTGAGGCTGTTAGTAGTTCTCAGCCCAGCTTCTGCATGAGAATCACCTGGAAATTATGTGAGCTACACGCCAGAGATTGAGTCAAGTCAGCTGGAGCTGCGTTTCTCGGCCTTGCCATCACATGAGAGTCAGCTGGGGAAATTGAAAACCCCTCACGCTCCAGGTTCATCGCTGCCCAGTTTCCTCACGGAGCCTGCTGGGGAAACCCACGCATTCATCCCCAGGTGACTTCACCGTGTTAATGAGACCAGGCCTTGATGCTTAGGTGGGAGGACCACTGGTGTACACAAGAGCAAATTATTAGTGTGTTTGTGTATAAAGACAAAAATAACATGAGGAGAGTGAGTCACTTTTTCAGTATGACTAGTAATGTTTGATTTTTCATCCTTCCCAACTAACACGTTGCAGATTCTGGGGTGCTCCCCTCCCAGGTCTCTCCTGTGATGCCTCGGCTCTTTGCTGCTGCTACAGGGCGACCATCAGGTGGATGGTGTTCACTCAAAGTTCCTACCCACCCAGAATGTGTGAAGATGAGCTCATTTGGGAAACAGGCTATTTGCAGAGGGCATGAAATGCAGGTGAGATCATGCTTGCGTAGGAGGAGCCACTGACTGGTCCCTATGGGAGGAGGGGCATTCAGACAGAAACACGAAGGAACAGTCCACAGTAGCACAGCCACAGGGGTCAGCGTAGCGCATCCTCAGGCCAAGGATCACATGTACTGCGAGCAGCTCTTGACCTCCGACATCCAGCCTCCCTTACCGAGAGGGACGTATTTGCTGTCTTAATTAAACTCCCTGTTTCTGTAATTTATTACAACAGCCCAATCAAACGATGGTGCCTTTGTGCCTCTGCCACCCACATATAGTATCCACTAAGTTTTGAGTTATGGGGGCCGGTGCAGTGGCTTAGCCAGCTAAGACCTCACCTGCAGTACAGGCATTCCATATGGATACTGGCTCAAGTCCTGGCTGCTCCAAGTCCCGTCCAGCTCCCTGCCTGTGGCCTGGAACAGCAGCAGAGGATGACTTGGGTCCTTGGATCCCCACACCTGTGTGGGAGACCCAGAATAAGCTCCATGCTCCTGGCTTCGGATCAGCTCAGCACTGGCCATTTTGACCATTTTCGGAGTGAACCAATGGACAGAAGATCTCTTTTTGTTCCTCCTCTTTCATTTAAAAAAATGAATTTTTTTAAAAAAAGATTCAAGTCATGTTTTTGAAATCACTCCTTTATTTCTCACGTGTATAGCTGATGTCTCCTAAGCTTTCTCTAACTGGAAGTCCATGTTTTTGTGTATTAACATTAGAGCAATCCAGCTCTTGTTCCGAAGGCCCAACCAGAAAGAAATGAACATGTTAAACATCTAAACATTCACTCGGAGTTCAAACCAAGAAAGCAGACATTGGAAAGGCAAAGGGCAGCCATGCACACCTGCTGCTCTCTCTGCCAGCACGGGCTCTCTGCGCTACCACACCAACCCCCACATTCACAAAGGAGGGGCTGCTCCCATCTTCAGAGACACTGCAGCTCAAGACCCTGTGTGGCCGGTTTGGTTAGGGACTGAGCTCCCCCACGTGAGAGTGCAGGTGAGCAAGTGTTGTGACGCAGGAAGCCGTTCTCTGTCAGGGAGGGGCCAGCTCTGGAAAAAACACAAAGCAGGAGGCTGCATGAGAGAGTCATTGTCAAGTTCTGGGACCGGATTGGGCTCCCCCTTAAGAAATCCCTATGCGAAAGTCCTAACGCCCAGCACCTTGGGATGTGGCTGTTCGGAAAGAGGGCCGTGAGGGAGG